CTCACTTGTGGGGAGTGTACTTTTCACTTGGAGTTATGCAACGACATTATTGGCTAGGTGCTTATTTTAATAACTACAATTATCTTGATTCACTTGGTCCTCATCTTTTATGACTCACTTGTGGGTAGTTCATCATGTCTCACCTTGAATAGCTTTCATCCCAATAACAATTCCGCATTTCTTTCGAAATTTTCAGAACATTTTTGGATGTCCACGTTCCAAACATTAAAATCAAACTCTCAGTGCCAAGATAATAGGGCAGCTAACTAGACATGCCCAGTCATCACATCATTCTATTGTCAACCTTGAAGTATGTCGAACAAAACTCGTTCATTTATAGAACGACTAAGCTCCTCAATTCTTTGCCAATGGAAGTATTCCCAAGAACTTATAACTTCCAAAATTTTAAAGAAATCCAACATTTGCCTCCTCCCCCAATCATTTCTAGGTATGCACGATGTTCCTCGAATCTCCTTTCGTTTCCTACAAGAGATGAAAATAATGATCGGTTTTCTCGCAATGATGACATTTTCGTGCAATCTTATACGCGAAGAGCGAACTTCGCGTTCTCTACACAGTACGCGATGTCAAACTTCGCAGCCGTTATACAAAGCAATGGCCGCCAATGCATACGTGACTTCCGAATTTGATATTCATCCATTTATTTATTTATTTATTCATTCATAGATTTGAGGTCACCCAACAGGCAGTTGTTTCAATGCCCAATAATCGAGTGGCACATTATCACATACAATTTATCATAAAGTACTGGGTATGTTTTCCATGCATAGTTATAGAATGCTTAAGATAAGTATTTGTGCTCAGTAATTAACAGTGCGAGGTTTGACAATGTTATTACTATTTGGCAATGTATTCTGTACTCAAGTAATTAAGAAGGACCAATTGTACAGAAATTGTTTGTCCCCATGTTTGAACCTAATAAATGAGAAGCTGCATCTATCAAGAGCATTGTTTGTTTTACATAGACTACCTATCTTATAAACGGAGAGTTGAGGATGAAATTTGTTGAGCAATGGGGAACTCTTACAAGTATATGTACATCAAAACATTTTCTTTCCAATTCCAAATTCTCCAGCATATGAAATTTCAAGTTATTTTCATATGATTTATGGTATCTGTTCTTGTCGAATCTAAAGTTCAGTCTATTAATGATTTTTTTTCGAACATTTTCCAGTCTATCAATATAGCAGCTGTATAATAGATATAATAGATGAGTTTTCGATAATAGGTTTTACATTGCTATTGAACAGGAGAGTAACAGATTTCCAACAATTGAATTCTTTGGTGACCCTGAATATGAATCCTATGTTCCTAAGTGACTTCTGTGTTATTTGATGGTTATTCGTAGATCTTTCACACTATCAGTTCTTTCGATGATTTGGTCTTTCAGTTTCAAGTCGTATATAATGTGTTTGTTACTACGGGAAAACACAATTTGATAACATTTCGAGAGGTTGAGGTGGAGTCTGTTTCGAGAGCAATAGTCTGAGAATCTATCCAGATCTGATTGAAAATCTGAGTAGTCACTGGGACTTTCAATGTTCTTGTAGATTTTTAGGTCGTCCGCGAAGAGGGGATGCTTTGTGTTATGAAAACATTTCCAAACTACTACAATAGCAAGGTTATTCAGTGTCAGATCATGGTCAGATCATATTTTAGTTTCGTCTAGATCTCACCAAATATTTTGTTTAAATTCAAACATGTCATTTCCATGCCAACGCTGTGACTTCGAATAAATTGGGCTGCTGTCGATTTGAATGCAATGATATTCCTTTGTAATTTTCAACGTTCGATGTGTCTGGCGATTGCAAGAGAAATAGTTTGTATACCATACAACAAAAGTTTCCTTGCCTCGGCCGAAATCGGCTTCGGCGTTAATTTTTCTTTCGCCACGCCAAGAAGATATGTCGTGGCCTAGGGATACAAATAACTATTTTCTTTCTCGTGATTATTTTTTGTCGTGTGCACGTTACTTGTGCGTTAATTAATTTTGGGTCTCTTGAAGTCACATGATCGATTGACCCATAATCCGGAATCTTTCCCATTGGCTCCACCATTTTGCTGCACAAGTACTTGACGCCGAGTCATTTTCAATCCGCTAGGAAGTTTTGCTACCAGCTGCTTCAGAAGCGACATTCCAGGAAAATTGTATAAGATTAGAAAAGTCGTCATCTTTTACTGGAGGGAAATTCTGAATCTTGTTGATTACTTGATTTTGGATGACAAATGCAAAATCGCCTGAGTGCAATAATAGACTTCTCACTACTTCAAAGGCATTTCCTTCGAAGCATCTCTGCATTTTTAACATAATTTCATCATCGGAGTTGAGACATGTGGATACTTTTTTCTCAAATTGGCTTAAACATCGGCCAATCCTGGAGCTTGCTATCAAAAATAGAAAATTCTTGTCAAATACTTACTTGCTCACTTTTACTACATCATATTGGAATTGATTCGACCTGGAAAGTTGAGACAGACTTCGTGGCATCTAAATTAACGTTACAAGGTTTGTCCATGAAGCCTTGTCAATCAAAATTTTCTTATGCTGGTTGAGTAAAAAAGCAAATGAACTTAGCTCGATAGAATTTGAATGACTTGTGGTATTACCTTCGATAGTGAACCTCTTGAGCCCGACCCACTACCAGGAACTATTGCAAATCTGTTCCATATCTTTGACCCTTGAGGCATGTATTTTCAGTGAAGGGACGATGGATCTTTTGTAGAAGAAATATATCCTTCAAGACCCGAAGTTGGTGAAGAGCAGTACCTATTTCATAACTACTATATTCAAATGAACGCAATTAGATATAAAGTGGAATTGAAGCAAAATCAACGAATATACAGACCACTATTATTATTGAAACACATTAGTGAACAGGCCGTATGTTACCGTTTAATATCGAAATACCTTCGTGTAGGGGCATAAGAAAAGGAATCCAATCCAAATTGAGTTTATCATCAGATAAAAACTGGAGGGAAAATTATATTTAAGTAATATTATAGCTAATGACAACCTGTTCAGAAAATCCTTGGCCATTCTGTAGAAAGAAAATGTCGTTTTATCATTATTCATATCGAGTCAGCAGTGAAAGTATATAATGACCATTTTCATGAACTAATACAATACATATAGAAAACATTTCAAATTCCGTGTGGGTACCTACCAACATTTCCTTTTGTATTTTTCACAGTGACAAATTGCTACTATTCTGAACACATTATGGATATTTATCGACTGAACTATTGTACATCGTTGCTTTCACGTGAAAAGAATGACGCGTGCCAAACCTATAAATCAAATTTAGCGCTGCATATTGCCCACAGTTTGTCTTTTATGTTCCTGATTCGTTATTTTCTCGTTTTTCAGCATGTTATGACATTATATGGATAGTTTTTCTTTGGCATCGGTCACCATACTAATACAAATTAGCTCTATTGAATGAAAATGCTCTATACATTATATCTGTCCTGAATTTCACGTTCTGGACATTAGAGTGATTCTGGAAGTTATGATAGACATACTTATATTTCTATTTGTTTCATCTCCCAAGACGAATCCCGATCAGGTACTTCAATAGTATTTCAATAGTAGCACATCAGCAGCAAATAATCAGAATGAATATTCGACCTTTCGAAAAATAATACAGAGATTGCCCTTATAAACACGATTCGATGGTTTCAATTAAGTTGAGCATATTGAATGAACATGAAATCATCATCTCACTTTTATTTTTGGAGATTGCTTCAGGGCCCATATAGTTTCATCATAAATATATCACAGTATATGAAGGCGACAGTGCTTCAAATGACATAATGACGAATTCATAGTACCTTATAATTTATTTTTTCAGGGTATGAATAGTATATGAATAGTATATGAACCCTTCGGTACCCACTTGAAAACTATCCATCTGTTGATCTTTCATTAATTTCTTCAGAAGAACATTCATTTCATAAACAAAAAAAAACTCAACGATTGCTCGATTGTTCTCCTATCCTATCCATCTAGTTACCCTTATTTACCTGGACGACAATTTTCAAACAGGAGTGTTGAGTGGTGCCTAATTTGAAACGGCTCTCGCGTGTTTATAATAGAACAGAATAGAAATGGCAGATGACACAATGTTCGAGATCTCATACCAGGATCAAGATGGCTATTAACGTACTCTCATGTTATCTTTGACCCTCAATTGACATTTACAAAGTCCCAGCAAACTTGAGAGAGTATGTATTCAAAATCAGGAATTATGCTGATTTTCGACATTTTCAATAGAGAACATTTTTAGATGCTAAAGATTCCACTACGAGAGCACGTTAATTATAGGCATCTAGTCGGGAGGATGAGACTTCCTGAGATTTCATATATTAGAACTGAAAAGGTTTCTAAAATCGTCATATTCTCTACCAGAATCAAAATGTGAACTACTATCAATGATGGGTCGAAAAAATAGAGTAAAATTCTCAGCCGTACAGAAGTTAACTAGACTTATTATAATGATACAACAAAGAGGAGATTCTCTGGTTTCTTTGGTTGCAATGTACCATTTAGGATTGTGGACTGTCCAAGAGTGATTAAGAGAAAATGAAATATAAAACAGATTCGATTCCACAATAAATAAAATCTGAAAATGAAATAGGAACTAAAAGAGTCAAAAAATAAACTCAGTCTCACAAAATGTTCATCTTCTTCATCACAAGATAAATATTTTTCTTTGAACTAGAATCATTGTGTTTCTTACTAAATATAACCTTCTGGATTTAATAACATTCTACATCATATATATGAAGGAAAAACTAGATACATAGATGATAACTCATGGGCTTGGTGCTGATCGACTGGTCGGAGGAAATCTTAATCCTATATGCCGTAAAATTTTTTATACTTCATCATTGCCGTTCAACCTTTTCAATCTTTCATACATGCAATAACCTTAAAGTTTTCAGATACTCATACCTAATATTTATATTTTTTGTTTCAGAAACATGAGGCTCTCCTGGAATGTAATACTTTTGGCGATCAGTTTTCTACTGGAAGGTAAGTGTGAAATTATATAGCATCGATATACAGGGTATAATATTTCAGATATACGTCGGTCAACCAGACACCCCGTATATCTTTGAACCTGGAGGTGAATGATGTTTCTTGAACTATCAGAACCATTTAATAAGTACACATGTGAATTTTCCCTAAATTTGAAAAAATAGTGTGGGTTGGTGTATTTCCAGGACATAACCAATATGGTAGTGATTTTCTATCGTGCATTTTTGGAACACCATGTATATCCAGGAAGTTTGAATTCAGAAAAAAAATCTGTATGAAGACATTAATTAGAATACACACAACAGTGGCCTCAATACGCGTTCCTAATTACCGCTGACCCACAACAGAAATATGAGGAACAATAAATTATTGATATGTTTTTTTTTTCTGTGACGGGAAAAAAGTTTGGCATTTCATCTCTGTTGGCAGGTTATAAAATGTCACTTTTCATAAATTACTTTTTTCCCGTGGGAAAAAAGTGAGTACTTCTTTCCCGGATATATATCACATATATATACTCTGTTAATGGCTTTTGTTGTGCTATAGTTCCGAAAAATGAGTCAATAATACCGTCTCCGAGAAAGAACTGCAAGTCCTTTCATCTTCCATTCGACTTCGCGGTTTCGTATATTACTAAACAACTACTGAATTCGCAATTTTTTAAAATCAAATCACAGAATTGAACTGACAGAAGTGACATCAGATATTTGATTACTTCAAAAGAATGATAAAGATGCCTATAAAACGCAGGTGTCCCTACTGTTAAAAACTTGAAATTTCACGTCGATAATTTTCAGATTTCGAAATAATGTAATATCTTCTCAATATTGATTCGTCGTTCCTTCTGTCACAGAAAAAAATAGTGTATTATACACGGGAAAAATATTAGATTTTAGCTCACGGTTTTTTGTCTCCCTCCGCTACGCGTCGGGAGACAACACAACCTGGAGCTAAAATCTACTGCTTTTTTCCCTTGTATAATAAATAACTATTTTGTTATTTGATATTATACTCGTGAGAAACATGTTTTCTTTGTCTCAATTCAGACTTTTTCCTCAGAATTCAAACTTTCTTCTCTGAATTCAGGCTTTTCTTCCATATGTGTATACAGGATGTTCCTAAAATTCGAGGTAAAAAATCACGGAAACGTTTTTCCATGCATATCTACTCTATGCAGGAATAAAACGCTTCGTTGCAACTTCAGGGTCGCATTTTGTACGATGACAACTTTCTGTCGTTGAAAATTGTGGCTACGGATAAGGTGTACATGATATATGATATGTACATGATATATTAATGATATATCTTGTTATGTTTTCCATTCTCCAATTTTCTGATGTATGCAGATGATCTTAAAATATACTACTCAATTCCCGATGCTGACGACATCGAACTAATGCAGCAGGACATCAAAAGTTCACATGATTACTGTAGGCTAAATAGTTAGGCCGTGGGCCCACTATGTACTCACGGCGTCGGAAAGGGGATAGGGATAGCCCTAGGTGACTACAGACACCACTGGTTAATAGCTTGTCATGGTAGCGGTAGCCCAGCTAAAAATGGAATTCTGGTGTATCTTGTGCCTCAGTTCGTCAAGGAGGGGGCAGCCCCAAGCGATCCAACCGCCAGTCATCGTAGGCAAAGCCGGATTCTCTCCTGTAAACGAGTTAGAGGAACGTGTAAAAGTCCTCGAACGATCACTCATTAAACGGGACGAGAGGATTCTTGTCAACATGTGTAGCAAACAGGCCAAAGCCTCTTGCGACGGTGACCCATCAAACGTAACAAGATGACTCCAGTGGGCAGCGATTTCCAAACAACACCACCGGACTACGGTAGAGGAGGTGAAGAAGAATCCCACTGTGGGTCAAGTGGAAGGAGCAGGTGAGCAGCTTTTCTGCTATGGCACTGAAACTGCAGAGCCAGTAGTCTGCCTTATCAGACGGCCTCACCATTGGTATAATAAAATGGTAGCAAGAGAACATGCCGTTACATAACGGAGATGGCTATAGCGCGCTGATCTGGCGTATCCAAATCCTCCATTTCTCCCAGGGGTGCTGTCGGTATGACTCGAAAGATAGGTGATCGGCAGTCATCCTCTATGGGAGATGGGTGGAATTTGGTTCCAGCTGGTTGCTACCCCAGCAGCATGCTGATTGATGTAGGCTGAATAATCTATACATTAACTTTGAGTAGTTTTACCACATTGCGTTCGGATACGGAAAAACTATTTCAAATCTCTTATATCAAAATCTTCTCGTCCCTTAAAAACTGTCACAAAAATTTCCAATTTAGAAATAATATTCGATTCTTAAATGCTTTTCAATAAGCATTGATTGAGAAGCTCATGAAATGCTAGGTTTTATAATCATAACTTGTCGTGAATTCAATAACACACAGACACTTCGTAATGTTTTGAGTTATGGTTCCTAAATATGGAACCCTGGTTACGAAAGTTTTATGAATAATCTTGAACGGATTCAGAATATATTCATAGATTACGTCAATGGAAAATGCTTTTTATCCAACCCCAGCAACCGTACCATATGTTCGAAATGGGCTGAACTTATTTTCACTAGCGCATAGAAGGAACATTTCAGACGTGGAATTCCTTCATAAAGTCATAAATAATTTAGTTGATATGCCTGCTATCCTCAGTTATATTTTACCTAAGAGCTCCTACTTATATTACTATGAATCATCACATTTTTCGTTATATACGAACAATCTCAAACAAATTACACGCTGTCAAATTCTATTAATATTGATATTTTCTCTCACTCTTTCCAAATTTTCTGACATTTTGAAAAAATATTTCCTTGCTTCAGCTTGATTTCGATATATTCTGATATGTTTTAATATGTACTGAATAAAATTATTTCACCTCTGTTTGTACCAACACATTACAATCACTACATGTTGTACCAACTTAATCGTTCTCTTCAATCATTGATTTTCCATCATTTGTTATAATTGATATTGTTCAGTATAAGTAGGTATCTTTATTATGGGATATGACATATCTATGAATACTGTTTTTGGGCTAGTCCCCTTCGTATTCCTATTTGTAAATAAATAAATATAGTCATTTTATGTTAACAATTGGGGAGGAATCATGAATGTGATAACAAAAACTATCCTCACAGTTCCAGATGCTCGTTTCTCGATTGCAGAGATATATTTGTACTGATATTGTTTCCTTCCTGGTGTATGGAGAGTGACTTGAGGTTGTACCAGAAGTAAATGAGTTCATTCATTCAATTACAGTTTAACAGTTATAAAACAGAATGTGTTTCAGGAGAAGCACAATGTATATCACGGAAACAAAGGGTCGTCCTGCAGAAAAATGCCTTTCTTCTGCAAGGAATACGTGCTTGTTATTTTCTGGCTTGTACTTTTGGAACAGCCTGTTCACACATGCACATTTTCAATACGTCTGGATTTAGAGGAAACAAGTCTGAATTCAGATAAAAGAGTCTGAATTCAATGGGAAAATTCTGAATTCAGACAGAACATCAATATTTTATACATGACTGTGAAGGGATTTTCCAGTTCTATATTCAGTGGTATGGAAGACAAATATGGCGCCCATGAAAAAAACAAGAGTTGCATGTTACATGACAATGTCTATGCACACTAACAAAATAGTCGGTAGTAAAAATACCAAACGTTTAGTCAAATTAGGCGCCCGTCACTACATTCATCTAATGATACCACTACAAGATTGTATAACACTATACTAAATCGAATAATACCATTACAAAATAGTATGATATAATTTTGTGATGGTAATATTTCCACGAAAAGGGATATCCTGTAATTTTCAGAGAACATCGTGAGAACCAAGGAAAATACGGTAGGAATTGGTATTCTTCTTAAATTTCTGGAGGTTATATGCCTTGGGGAACACCTCCTTTGGCATAATGTGTTCCAGAGTCTCGCTGTTCGTTGGATGAACGAGTATTTGGAAAGAGATGTTCTGCAGGCCTCCAAAGTGACCACGAAGTGGTGCGAAGCCTCAACTCGACGGGTTAATCTCACGGAGACTGCCAAGGGAGGAACAACTGTTGATATTTTAAACATTTGGTATTTACTATCGACAATTTCTCCGAGAATATAAATCAATACGAATTCAGTATCTTTTTCGAAATATTTGAGGAACAGCGATGTTTTTTTTCTATTTCTGAAACAACATAATGGAGAGATCCAAATTACGCCACTTTTGTCTGATTCGATCAACTTCAACCAACTAAAACAGTGATATCTCCCGAACGGCGCCACTAGTGAAGGAAATAAACATTTGTGTACGTCAGAAAATGCACCTTGATGCATAGAAGACATGTACCAAATTTGGTAAAGATGTCTACAATATTATCCCACCTATTATTGAAAAACTGTTTTTTTTTTAAACTGTATCGCCCTGTATCTCAGTTATCTAAGTAAAGACTCTTGAGACATACGTTCATAGGGAGTTTTTATCTTGAATTGAGTCAAATAATCACTCCCCCAAATATTGACATGTCTTTAAGGAACACCCTGTATACTCTGCTCATATGAAATCGGCGGTATTATCATACGAGTTATGCACTTTGATTTTTCTACAGCTGTAATAGATAACAGTGACATTTTTTATTTCTTCGTCTTGTAACCATCTGATTCCCTCTCAAGTAATGCTCACTCATTCGACAAATCATTGCTTGAAATTTGACATTCAATGGGCGATAATAACACAATGGAGTCATTGTGATATCAGATACGGAAATAAAATTGATGACATACAAAGTACCTCATGGACTTATCGAACGCTCTGAAACCAGAGCAATTTTGTAATATAGCCGTAGAAAACTCAGCATTTCCATATTCGCATGCATATAGTTAATTTTCTAAGTACGAGCAACCGAAGTATTTTACCACTACTACAATATACACACCAATATGGAATATTATGTCTGTCGACCATTTCAAGCAACAAAAAACTTCTGGAATGTTATGCC